GTGTCCATGTATTGAAAGACTCAACACAGTAACAATGTCAGTTCTCCTCAAATTGATCTATAGGTTAAATGCAATTTCTATCAAAATCCCAGCAAGATTTTTTATATAGATAGATAAGTTTATTCTGAAGTTTATGTAGAAAGATGAAGGAAATAAAATAGCTAACATAATTTTGAAAAAGAGTAAGTGAGAGAAATCACTCTACCTGATTTTATACTTATTCTGTAGCTATGGTAATTCAAACAATGTGTGTTGGTAGAGAGAAAAAACAAAAACAAAAACAAAAAACACATAGATCAATGTAACAGAATAGAGAACCCAGAAATAGAACCAAACCAATATACCCAACTGATTTCTGGCAGTGAAAACCTACCCCTTATTACAAAATACATCCAAAAGTATAGATTTAAATGTAAAATGTAAAACTTTAAAGAAAAAAAACACTTTTAAAATTCAACATAGGAGAAATCTTTGGAAAGCAGGACCAGGTAAAGAGATTTTAAGAAGTGACAAAAAATGTACAGACCACAAAAGAAAAATGAATAAATTGGACTTCAAATTAAAAACTTTTGCTGTGTGAATGATCATATTAAATCATCAGAAAGATAAGCTGCTCCCTGGCACAGTGGCATATGCCTATAATCCCAGCAACTGAGAGGTTGGGGCACAAGTTCAAGGCCAGCCTCAGCAAATTAGTGAGGCCTTGTCTCAAAATAAAATATAAAAAGTGTTGGGGATGTGGCTCAATGTTTGAGTGTTCCTGGTACAGGGGGTGGGGGGCGGGGTGTCGAGAAAGAAAGAAAGAAGAAGCTGCTGGCTAGAAAATATTGAGAAATTGCATACTAGCAGTCTTCACTTTGTTATCACATGGGACTGTAAAAATGACTGCCAGCTGAAACTCTGTAGARCAATCTTAGGTATCAATGGAAAAATTAATGATTGTTCCATGACTTTTAACATTTTTTGCCATACGCTAAAAACTATATGTGAGTTATAAACATTTACAGAAATGAAGAAGTAGCAATACTAATATTTATTTAATGCACTGTGATTTTAAGTGCTAGAAACATTGAGAAAGTTTTTATTTCTTTGTCAAGTTTTTGGGTTGTTTTATAAAGAGCAGTTTGAACAATGCTTAGCTTTTCCTCTTATGACAGAGAGCATCTTTTCTATGCTTGGTGAATTATTATACTCCTTTCTAAGTATGGTAGCTTCCAAATTTTATCCATTGTGCTTTTAATGTTGTGAAATTTGTGAGTTCCTATTGTGTAAAGGTTTTTTGTGTTTTTTTTTGCCAGTGCCACATCATCTTTTTTTATCACTATTAGTTTTATTTTTGAAGTTTACCTTTGCTAAGTTCTGGCTACATATTTAGAGATTATCAAACAGCATCAGTGTCAATATCCCTCAATCTTCTTTTACAACTCCTTTTATGTTTAATTTGAATTTTACTGCCAAAGTTACCACTTTTCATTTCTTTGCTGCACTTTCATCTTTGCTGGCGAATTTTCTTTCAATTATCTATCTTTATAGAATGTCACATGGGTTCATAATTGAGAGATGAGGCCACATAACTGTACTTTGCATCAGTGTGTGAACTGAGTAACAGATGTGCAGTGACTAGTCATGTGCAATGAAGTCATGTGATTAATCATTGCTCATGATAGACACTTTTTAAAAAATTTTTTTTAATAATTATTTTTTAGTTCTCGGTGGACACAACATCTTTGTTTGTATGTGGTGCTGAGGATCGAACCCAGGCCACACGCATGCCAGGCGAGCACGCTACCGCTTGAGCCATATCCCCAGCCCCTCATGATAGACATTTTTAAAAAAACTTATATAGTGATTTTCAAACTGAAAATCTAGCAGCAAAGTTTGTACTTTATGTGGTTACTTGTAGTTAATATTTTGTGGTAACTGAAATTTGAGTTATTTTGGGATATTGGTATTATTTAAACTTTGTTTTGAAATTGGTGCATATGCATGCAAAGCAAGGACTATCTGTATCTGACAAAGAGCTTTAAAATACACAAAGAATCCCTTCTGGGAGCAGTGGCACATGCCTATAACCCCAGCAACTGGGAGGAGGGGTGCTGAGGCAGGAGGACCACAAGTTCAAAGCCAGACTCAGCAACTTAGTGAGGACCTAAGCAACTTAGCGAAACTCTTTCTCAAAATTAAAACACACACACACTAATAAGAAGTAGGGATGTGGCCCAGTGATTTAGCTCTCCATGGATTCAATCCCTAGTTTTTTAAAAAAAGAATATGTAAAGAACTCTCAAATAGTAAAACTAATAACACTTAGGTAATGGGTAGGCACACAGACATTTTAACAAAGAGAATAGGCTGGAAGGAAAGCACATGGAAAGATGTTTAATATCATTAGTCATTAAGTTAAATCTGCAGTGAGTTATCAGTACATATTTAAATGAATGTATAAAATAAAAAAGTGATAATATTAAATATTGGTGAGGATACGGATAAATTGGATCTTTTAAACATTTATGGTCAGAATGTAGAATGGTATAGCCATTCTGGAAAACAGTTTTACTTAGACTCTTTCTCAAAATTAAAAAAAAAAAAATTGGGGCTGGGGATGTGGCTCAAGCGATAGCGTGCTCCCCTGGCATGCTCGGGGCACTGGGTTCAATCCTCAACACCACATAAAAAATAAAATAAAGATGTTGTGCCAACCAAAAACTAAAAATAAATATTAAAAAATTCTCTCTCTCTCTCTCTCTCTCTCAAAAGAAAAATTAAAAATTAAAAAAATAAAAAGGAGTAGGGATGTGGACTAGTGGCTAAGCACCCCTGGAGTTAATCCCTAGTTTAAAAAAAAAAGAATATATAAAGAACAAAACAAAACAAGATTATCATAACCCAACAGTTGTACTCTTGGCCGCTTATCCTAGAGAAATAAGAACATAAATTTAAACAAAAACTTATATACAAATGTGCATAGCAGTTTTATTCATAATGGCCCAAGTCTAGAAACGACTCAGATTTTCTTCAGCAGTGAATGGTTAAACAAACAGCATCTATATGATGGAATACAACTTAATAAAAATAGAAAGAAGTAAACTATTGATATGTACAGAAACTTGAATGAATCTCAAGGGTATTGTGCTCAGTGAAAGAAAACAGTCTTAAAAGGTTACCGACTGTATGGTTCCATTTATATAACATTCTCCAAATGTCAGAATTATAGAGATGGAGAACAAATAGTGGTTGCCAGGACATGGAGATGGGAGGGAGTATAGTGAGAGGACTAGGTACRTCTATAAAGAGTTTGCACAGCCAGCTACTATGGTACATGCCTATAATTCCACCGTCTTGGGAGGCTGAGGCACAAGGATTGTAAGCTTGATGCCAGCCTGGGCAATTTAGTGAGCCCCTGTCTCAAAGGAGGAAATAAAAAGGGCTAGGGATATAGCTCAGTGGTAAAAATAACCCTCCCTCTTCATTCCTCATACTGCAGAAGGCTGCAGGCAGCAGGGACAAGAGGTTGCACATTGGAGTTGTGGTGGAACAGTTCCATAGCTTGGTCATTCTATGGGTTCATAAATTTGTAGCTTAAATAAAAGTGTATAGAATCACACATAAAAACATGCAAATGAGACCATGTAAAAAGTAGTAAAATCTGACTGAGGCCTGTAATTTAGTTAATGGCATTGTACCTATGTCCTTTTCTTGGTTTTGATACCAGTGGTACCCCTGGAGAAAGTGGGATAGAGTATTATTTTTGTAATTTCCTGAGTTTATAATTACTTAAAATTAAAATTTTTCTTCTTCTTCTTTTTTTTTTTTAAAGGCCTTCTTGAGGGTCAGGCACCATCATCTTAGGAGGTACAGATCACTATCATCTGATATGCCACCTGCCTATCATCCCATAGCTCTAGAAAATGATTCAGCCTTCTCAGACCTGTCTGCCTGGCTTTGGTAGCCATCCAGAGTCTTCTGTCTGGGTGCAGAGAGAACATTTCATGTTGGTTTAGCTCAGAGAATTAGGGTGTGGTGCCCCATAGATGTGATTGCTCTGCTAGGAGATCAGTCTTTTTTTTTTTTTTTTTTTAATAAAGATCAGTGTTTTTAAGAGAGGCTGATTTATGTCTTTGGGTGGTATTTCCATGGAGTGTTTGTAGCTGGGGAGAGAAACCCATTGGTAATAAATGGGTGATTTGAGGCTGACAGCTGCTCATCATCCTGCTTTTTATAAATATTCGTTCCTTTTAGTTCTTTTTGGAAGATAGATACATAAACCACTGTGACCTTTCAAAATGTCTTTATAAAGACTATCCTCTAAAACTGGTAAGAAAATGGAGTGCCACATACATAAAATATCCAATTAAAGTCTTTTATTCACCTCTAACATAATTTCATTTAAAAATTTTGGGGGGTGGGCAAGGATTGAGAGAAAAATTGTTTGAGATTTGAGCATAATACATTCAGTAATTTAGCCATTTCAAACAGTTGAACGAATTGTACACCTGTGGTTAGATTGACAGTGATGACAGTGATTTAATTTTCATCAACAATTGCTCCTGCACTGACAGTGTTTGCCTGTAGTTTTCTACATCCGGGTTTCCCTAAAATGTTGCTGGGTTGGATAGGGCAAAGCCAAGATAGTCTCTGATTGTGGGAAGAGGGGAACCATGGTATGTGTTATTTTTTTCTGAGACCTCAACCAGACCATATGAGGTTAGTTTTTGAAAGTAAGCTTGTGTTTCTTTCTCGACTTTGTTACAATTACAACAAGAAGACTTTTCATTCTTCTTGAATGTCTTTTACAGCAAAGGCCTATATGGGTAGACTCTGAGGGTTCTTTTTCTCTGGTACCTTAGGAAGAATTAGGATTTTTGAAAGTACAGATTAGAGAAGATTATAAATATTAGGACAGCATTTCTGTAAAGGTTGGCATCCATAGTAGACCATAGAAGTCTTTGGGAGGTGTCTCCAATCAGTTAAATTGATCATCTATTTGTTGCTGTCCTCAGGCAAGACAGGCTGAGGTAAAGCGATTCTTCCGCCCCATTGAGGAACTGAAGAAGGAGTTTGATGAGCTGAATGTTGTCATTGAAACTGACATGCAGATCATGGTCCGTCTGATCAACAAATTCAACAGTTCCAGCTCCAGCCTGGAAGAGAAAATTGCTGCACTCTTTGATCTTGAGTACTATGTCCATCAGGTATTGTATTTCCATGTCCATAAGTCTAATTTTTAATTAATAGCTCCAAAGATAACCTCTGGCCATAAGCCCCTGAGAAAATGGCATCAGCATCTTTACTTCTCTTCCAGGGCCTAGTCTGTTTTCAATCTAGCCAATGTTTCTTGTAGTTAGATATATTCTTAGAGACTATACCAAGCTCTTTTTCATTTATACTGTTACCTCCTTTATTTTTTTTCAACACTGAGGATACAACAGAGGTTCTGTAGTTCCTATCCCATGTAGCTTATAGTCTGGAAGGATAAACAGTCAAAAAGTGAGCAAATGAACACTTTAACAATGAAATAATGAGGTAATTTAAGATCATGATAGACTCCAGAAGGTGATGTGGGAATATATCATAGTTGAACTTAATACCTAGTCAGGGGCAATAAAGAGAGGTTTCTCAAGGATGTGCCGGCTGTGCATTCAAGCATTATTAGAAGTTTTCTAGGTAAAGAGGAGGCTTTAGAATAGGGGATGGCAAACTACCACCCATGGGCCAAATTGGACTTGATGTYTGTATTTGTAAATGAAGTGTTATTGGGACACACCCACCACTGTTGGTGTATTATTTAAGACTGTTTTCATGTTATAATGGCAGAGTTGAATAATTGTAACAGAAACTGTATGCCTCACAAAATAAAAAATATTTAATTTTAGAAAGTTTGCCAGTCCTTGGATTAGAGCATTCCAGGCAGAGTAAGCAACATGTACAAAGATTCTGGGGCAGAGAAGAACTTGGTGAGGTTGAACCTGGAAATGATTAGTGTGCCTGGAGCATAGTGGCCAGGGGGAGGCTAGCATAGATAGTGGGAAGCTGGGGAGTCAGAGAGTTAAGTTTAGGAATATCCTGCTCTTAATAATTTTAGCCTTAATTCTTAAAACAATTTGAGAGTTCATCATGGAAAAGTAACTACTCAGACTTCTATAGCTAATATTTATTGAGATTATTATATACTAGACTCTGCTTCAAGTGTTTTGTATATATTAATTCATTGACTTCCACAGCTTGCCTTATAGTAGCCATCACTATTTATCCCATTATTTTGCTTTTTTGGCGGGGTTGGGATCTTACTATGCTGCCCAGGCTAGTCTCAAACTCCTAGGCCCACATCATCTTCCTGCCTCAGCTTCCGAACAGGTGGGACTACAGGAATGCACCATTGCACCCAGCAAATCCCATTTTTTACCTGAGAAAAATGAAGCAGAGAGAGATAATGTGATGGCTCAGTATCATCCAGCTAATAAGGCTAGAGCTGGGAAAGCAACACAAGATTTCCTTCAACCTCTAATCTGACCCTTCACTAATCTGATGACTCTGCTTATCATAGGAAACTGGTATGTTTTCTTCTTCTCCTTCTTCTCCTCCTCCTCCTCCTCCTCTTCCTTCTCCTCCTCTTCCTTCTCCTCCTCTTCTTCCTCCTCCTCCTCTTCTTCTTCCTCCTCTTCTTCTTCCTCCTCCTCCTTCCCTCCCTCCTCCCTCCTCCTCCCTTCTTCTTCTTCAATTGAACTCAGGGATGCTTAACCACTGAGCCACATCCCTAAGTCTTTTTATTTTTCATATTGAGACAGGATCTCAATATGGTTGGTTTGGGCCTTGCTAAGTTGTTGAATCTGGTTTCAACTTGCAGTCCTCCTGCTTCAGCCCCCCCCAAGTCACAGGATTACAGAAGTTTGCCACCATATCCTGGATTGGTACCTTTTGAATGAAGCTCAAAAAGGAATGTGTGGAGGTAAAGAGAAGGAGCAAAGAGAAACCATTCATTTATTCAAGAAATGAGTTTATCGAATGCTAACTTTAAGTCCCAGGCACTTGAGATACATCTGTGAACAAAATTGGAGCTTACTTTCTAGCAGAGGCAGTTACCAAATAAGTAAATTATAAGTAATATATTGAGGCCTGGCACAGTGGTGCACACCTATAATCCCAGCAGCTCGGGAGGCTGAGGCAGGAGGGTCTCAAGTTCAAAGCCAGCCTCAGCAATGGTGAGGCACTAAGCAAATCAGTGATACCCTGTCTCTAAATAAAATACAGAGAAGGGTGGAATGAGATGGTCATCATTACCCTAAGTACATGTATAAGACATGAATGGTGTGAATCTGCTTTGTGTTCAACCAGAGACATGAAAAATTGTGTTCTATATGTGTAATATGAATTGAATTGCATTCTGCCATTATATATAACAAATTAAAATAAATAAATAAATTTTTAAAATACAAAAAAGGGATGGAGATGTGGCTCAGTGGTCGAGTGCCCCTGAGTTCAATCTCTGGTACCCTACCACAATATGTTGAAGGTGATAAATGGTATAGAGAAGTAAAAAGGAGAGTAGGGAAGGAATTTGGCTGTGTTGAGACTGATTATCTCAGGCAGRAGGAGCAACAAGTACAGAAGTCCTGAGGTGGGAGATGCCTAGTATGTTTGAGGTCAGTATACTTGGAGTAGGGCAAAGGGGGAGAGGAGAAGAAGATGAAGCTCAGAGATACTGGAAGGAAGAATATGGAGGACTTAACTGTAGACCATGACAAAGAGTGAAACTTGAAAAATCTGACTTACTTTTAAAAGGACCCCTCCAGCTGCCATGTTGAGAATTGGACTGAAGGTAAGGGGAATGAGTAGAAGGAGAGACCAGGTAGGAGGCTCTTGTGAGTAACCCAGACTAGTAACAATGGTGGCCCAGGGGGCTATGTAATAGTAGTCAAAATCTTGTTTGAGATCCATATAGATCTTCAGTGTCCTCCCATGTACTATAGAATCTTTGGTTTTGTTTATTTGTGGTGCTGGGTATTGAACTTGGGGTCTTGTACATGCTAGGCAAGTGCTCTACCACTGAGCAACATCCCCAGCCTGTATCTTTGTTCTTTATAAACTAATTTAAAGAGAGTTTTTCTTTGTTTGGGATTTTTGCCAACTTCTGTGGTGAAAGAGGGTGAGGGTGAGTGTGCACTGTATCTGCAGGAATTATGGAGCAGGTTCTTCACCTTCTTTCTCTGCTCATAACTCTTTCTTAGGTCTCAAAAGCAGGACTGTGTTCCTCGGGGGGGGGGGGCAGGAGGCAGGGAACATACCTGAATTCTCTTTCCCCTTTCCAGTTTTCTCTCTAGGGTAAGAAACAAAAACTCCCACAGTTTTTCGGTTAGAGGCAAAGGATTAAGAATCTTAGGGGTTACTGTCCAGTTCAGTCCTGCTCTGATGTTATAGCTTTTATTTATTTTTTATTTAAACATACTTGAATGGATGTTTATATATCAGATTTCTATAGGTTATTTTTTTAAAAATACTTATTGTTTTTAGAAGTAGTTGGACAAAATACCTTTATTTTGTTTATTTGTTTTTATGTGGTGCTGAGGATGGAACCCAGGGCCTTGCACGTGCTAGGCTGAGCCACAATCCTAGCCCCTATAGGTTATTTAAAAAAAAAATTGTAGTTGTAGATGGTCAGAATGCCTTTATTTTATTTGTTTTTTATATTTATGTGGTGCTGAGGTTGAACCCAGTGCCTCTCACATGCTAGCCAAGTGCTCTGCCACTGAGCTACAACCCCAGCCCTAGGTTATTGGTTTAGTTGCATAGGAAAGACCAAAATGAATGGGAACTTATCTAGGTATGAATAAGTACTCAAGAGGCTTTAGAAGTGCCCCAATAAAGTTTTTTTTTTTTCCTTCTGCAGGTCCTCTAGTCGCCTGGCATCATCACTCTTAGGGTGATATATTTCATTCTACTTTCAAAGGTCACTAGAAGGAATGAACATTACCAAATTTAGCCTAAAGTCATAGTGGGAACTATTCCTCTGGTCAAGGCCAAACTCTTTCTGTTGGCAGAGGTTCATAAGTATTCTGAGTCATAAATATTCATTTTGATTGGAAGTCTAAAGTCCTTGGCTTGGACTGGCCCATTAGGCTTCCGTGAAACAATGTTAAGTTATAATTTTACAGAGAGATTCCAGAAGACTCCACTCAGCCCTGATTTCTAGTTGTGATGGGGATTTGAGGTGATATAGTGCTGGCTTTGAGGAAGTGAAGACTTTTCTAGCCAGGAACTTTTCTGTCTCTTCCCATTCCAGAATTTCTGAGTGGAAGCTCAAGGAACCAWGGGCTTCAAGGACCTGAACTGGGTCTTCCCAAGGATTCTTCACAGCCATATTTGAATTATTAAAATAGCATATGTGAAAAGCAAAACCTTGTGTGTCGTAACAATTTTCAAGTTATTTWTGAGGAACAGCCTTTGTCTATCTTACCTAAACTAGGGCAATATATTTGTTTTTCCTTGTGGGASTCCTCAGTTGTTTACTTCCATTTCTCACTTTCTCTTTTTCCTGTTCTCTTATTATCTTATCCTTGCTCTGGTTCTCTTCTTCCTTCCTGAGTGTTGGTACAAGTTCCTTTGTCCCCTTTGTAATGCACTCCCTCCCTATATTCCTATCCACCTGTCTGACCCCATCTTGAGAAAAGTTCTGGTTCCAGATGCAGATGGGGAGCTGGAGCACATGGGCTCTGCTCATGCCATCTTCTGTGTGAATCTGGGGAGCACCCACCTTTTGTTGTGAAATGGGCATAACGACACTGTTCTTCTTCGCTGCCAGTAAAACAAAAAATGACGTAACACCTTAAAAGGCTAAAGTGTTTATATAAATGTCAGCATTTATATTACACTTCATGTAATATGGATAAATTGGTAGAACAGAACCTCTGTTATTCTGGGCTGTGTTGCTTTGGGGCAACAGAGTGGTAGCTGCTCTGCTAGGAACTCATACTAGCTTTGATAAGTGGCCATCCCAGGAATGAGATGATAGGATTCTGAGCCATGGTTTAATATCTGGAAAACCTAGAGCAAGAATGATCAAAGAACAGGCAGCAAATTCATGTATTTTAAAATCATTGCATGTGAGGAAAGAAGGCATTTAATGTCAGCAAAGCACTCAATTTGAATCTTCCTTGTTTGCCAGGCTTTAGCTCAATAGTTATTCCTGTTCTCGAGGACAGATTGGGGCAGAAAAATCCTGGCCTGGGACTGCATGGCAGACCAGACTTCATGCTCAGTTTGCAGCCTAGATTGGCTGTTGTTTCAGGTCTAGGGTACCTCTTAGCACAGATACCCCATATGTTTTTTGAAATTCACAGTGGAATTTTATTTCAGGAACATTTTTTTCCTGATCAAATTCATATTTATTGGTTTAGTGATTATTTATTGAATACCTAACTGTATGTTCAACATTATTCTAGTCATTGGAACTGCAACAGTGGATGAGCAAACAAAGCCTCTATTCATGTGGAGATTCTATCAAAATGTTTAAAATTATCTTCCAAGTGGTAAAAATAGACTAAGCCCACCTAAAAACATTGACAGGGTCATATACTGTGTTTCATGCTTGATTTCTCTGTCAGAAGAAAYACTGCTAGTTTGGAGGAAAAGGCAAGGACACAATCAGGTAGGAAATGGCTCTCTAGAATCTAGAGGAAAAAGGTGGAAAGCCCTCATGTTGTTGTTGGGCCCTAGTTTCCTGATGAAGAAGAATTCTTCCTAAAGAAGAATTAGTGAGTGAGTATGAGACAGACTTTGTAGCAACAAAGTATGCATGGAGAGTGGGGGAGGGGGGAGATTGATTCTGATTTTTTTTTCACATATGAATGTAAATATAGGATTTTGTAAGTTAGTTATTAAAATGTTAATTTAGTACTAGTTTAAAATAATAGTCTTAAGTGCCACAAAAATCAGCCTGACCATTTTAAGTCAAACTAGAGATATACGATAAGAAGTTAATAATTATTTAATATTGATTTTTTTGTAATGAGACCACATTACAATCACTTGGATTCATTATTTAAATATATTAGTCACTCAGCTTATTAGAGTTACATGATTATGGAAATATTCTGCATTACACATAGCCACTACCTAGTAATGCAGGCCTAGACTAAAGCCTTTGGGAGAGTGACTTTTATTATGAATGTCTTCAGATGTAGTCAACCTTAGAAAAGAAGGATATTATTGTTATTCCTCTCCTAGCAGTCTTGTAGCTCTCCCTCACCAACAATAGCACTCCTTTTATAGTCCCTGGCTTCTAATTAAAATCAGTTCCTTTTTTTTTTTATTGTTGCCTCCACTGCACTCATTGGGGTTGGACATCAGCAGAAAGTATGGCACCATTTAGTGATGCTCATGATGCCAGATTCTTTGTGTTAACAGCTTGTGTGTTTGGATTAAGCCTTGTGACTCATTATGGTTTATAATTTTCCAAGATATGCTTGGCATAAGCAATAGCTAGGTGCCATTTCCCCTGATTCCCACGCAGGTACTCATGAATTGCGTTAGATGAATTAGGAGTTCTCAAATTTGAGATTATTTTAAAAATTATTTTGTTTTTACATATGTTTTTCCTACTTTGTTAAAAAGGCCACTATTGTTTTTTACTTGGTTTTAAATTTGTTTTTGGATAGACACTAAAAGAAAGGCCTTCAGAAGAGCTCTTCCTTCTTGGATGTCTGTTCTGTGCTAAGTGATACCTTTGTTGCAGATGGATAATGCACAGGACCTACTGTCTTTCGGTGGCCTTCAAGTGGTAATCAATGGGCTGAACAGCACAGAGCCCCTGGTGAAGGAGTATGCTGCATTTGTTTTGGGGGCTGCCTTTTCCAGGTAAGTGTGGATGGACATCCCAATGGCAGAATCGTTTGGCCTTATTGCCTCAAAGGTTACTTTTGCACTTATGCACATCTCTACTCATGTTTCAGTGTGATACAGTGAAACCAGAATTTTTGGTGGGGGGATAAATACACACACACAAATACACACACACACACACACACACCATTTATCAGTAGATCTTAGGTCACATTCTCTGTTTTAGTAAAAGCAAATAAAAAGATTCACCACAGACAGTATGGAGGGGAATGAACTCCAAGAGTTGATCCCTTTAGCAGTAAAGCCACCTCTAGTGATGAATAAATGATGAACCTGACCAAGGAAGGCCTTTTGAGGGAAATGTGTCTTCTAGTTGTCTGGAACCAATCAACATGCAGTCAGGTTATTGGGTTGGTAGTTCTTTAGAATTTCAAATAGTCTGGTTTATGCTAGAAGACTGATTAGGCAAAAGGAGAAGGAGACAACACCTTGAAAGAATGAATACAGAAAGATGTGGTCATCACATCATTATGCTCATCCTAAAAAAAAGGTCAGGATATCTTCATGGTACAGTTGGTCTGTTGGAGCTCTATAGTTCCATTTTTAAAAATCTGCTTCTAGGATCATTTGTATCTCTAAAAAAGGAAGAAATATTCCGATTCTTGCCGCAAAGGCATGAGTGGTAGTTATTAGGTTTGCCTTGTTTAGATTAGGGGTCGTGATGTTGTAGAAGAAACTGCTACTCTGAACATTTTACCACTATAGGCTTTGTTTTGAAAGGATTTCCTTTGCCTTTTATCTATGCTGTCTTTATTTAATCAGAATATCAATCTGATGCTTTCTCATGCTGAAATAGTTCAGCATCTTTTCATAGTAAAACGAAGGACAGAGCCAAGAAGGCCCAAAGAATTGTTCCTTGAGGAGGGGCTGAAAGCACTGTAGATCTTTGTTTCCTTTATCACTGCCTGCCTTAGTTTCAGGTCCTTATGGACAGTCAAGGCTCTGGCCTCCAGAGAAGTTTCATCTCCCTTGGTCTCACCTTCCAGAGCCAGAGTTTCCCAGGGAAATCTCCTTTTGTGCAGCCATTCGAAAGGTAGACAATCTGAGTTTGTTTTGGAAGTTGCAGTTTCAACCCTAGGGAAAGTGCAGGGTCTTATTTTCATAAGGCTTTACAGACTTGAGAATTTACTTTACTTTCGCTTCTCCAGCCAGAAATGAAGAGAGGTCAAACATTAACCTCTCTGTCCATATCCTTTTCAGAAATTGTTATGGTTTGGATATGAGATGTTCTCTGAAGAGCTCATGTGCCAATGAAGAAATGTTAGGATGTGAAATGATTAGATTATGAGAATTGTAATCTAATCAGTGGATTAATCCTTTTGATATCGATTAATAATTTCAGTGGATTATGGGGGATAACTATAGTCAGGTGTGGTATGGCTGGAGTAAGTAGGTCACTGGGGGCATGCCCTTCAGGATTATATTTTGTCCCTGACTTCTGGTGCCCTCTCTCTCTGCTTCCTGGCTACCATGAGCTGAGGAGCTTCCCTCTGGCATGCCCTTCCACCAAGATGATCTGCCTCACCTCCGGCCTAGAGCAATGGAATCAGCTGACCATATACTAAAACTCAATTATGAGTTCAAAATTTTCTTCCTCTAAGTTGTTCTTGTCAGGTATTTAGTCACAGAAACAAAAAGCTGATTAACACAGAAATCTTTGCCTTAGCTCAAGTATTTTATTTTTACCTTCAATATTGTGAGAAACATGCTCACCTGTCCAAACCCAAAGAATGGATTAAGAGACACACTGTATAGCAAAAAGCAAGACTTTAATAATGGTCKTATAAGATTGGGTATCTGAGGGAAGCAGATACCCCCAGATTGGGCACAACCATTGTTTTATCCCTTTGAGTGCAAGGTCTCTCCCAGTTTCCTCATTGGCTGAGTGCCAAGGGGTGTACAGTGTTTATGGTTTGGAAATGAGATGTTCTCTGAAGAGCTCTGAAGAGTCTTTCTGAATATCATCTATGTTTTACTGTCTCCTATTGGGTTACCTAAAGAAATATACTTTTAGTTGTCCCCACCTCTCTTTTTTTCTCTTGTGGCAGGAAGGCCCTTTTGGACAATGTCTTTTGGTACTTACCCAGTTTATTTCTTTTGGTCAGGTCGGGGAGTGCCCTTCCTTCTCACCTCCTGTTCGTCAAGGGGCTGTGAATTTTTATACTCCCATTAACTGCTTGTAACTTTTCATTCTATTCCCCTATCCATCTGCCTTTCTTACATCCCAAGTAATTTTATATTTAAAGCTAAATACTCCTTTGAAAATGGACCACTGGCCTTTCTATTTCGTACACCTATGAACAGATTACCGAATATGTCCCTAGCCATTGCTTTTGGAAGTACATTCCATGGAGGAAACTATATAGTATCTTCATATCACATCCTAGTTATGAAGGACTAACTTATTTGAGAAGCATGCAACGGGCCTGCTTAGCAGATCATAATTCATTCAGAGACTGTGCCAGTATATTATTAAGACTTCTCTGTGATTGTATTAGTGTAAGACCGTGTTAACATTTATGCAGCATCACTAAAATTTAAATAGAGATAAATATAAAAGATTGCAATTTAGTGTTTTGGTGGCAAGCAAACTGCTGTATTGAAAATGTTCTAGCTGGGTTTTTGATAGCTCACTGGAGAGCTGTTACAGTGACAGCATGGTATGGCGCCAGAGCTTTTGGAAGCCAACAACAGACTCCCAAACACCATGAAAATGTCAGTGTTTTATGCAAAGAGGAACTTGATGCAAGGTAAGAATGTTTCTATGCAGAGAGGCAAGTTTTAGTGCTATAATCTGATATTCATTATTTATTCTTGATGTTCTATATATTGACTCTGTACCTCCCTAACTGTTCCTAGTGTACAAGTGTATACACATGTCACACATGTGCACACATAATGGCCAGATAAAATTGCTTTTTGTCAAAGGGCCTTCAAATGATAGTGAGCACCGTGGAATCAGGGTGTGCCCACAGACAACCTTTTTAAGCCTTGCCTTACCTTACCTCTTTTTTTCGTTAACTGGGAACATTAATAGGTATCTCACATATTTTGAGAATTTTGTTTTCTCCTCCCACTCCTGAATTTTGTTTTCTCCTCCCATCCCCGCAAGTACTAGGGATTGAAACCAGGACCTTGTGCATGCTAAGCAAGTGTTCTACTATTGAGTTGCATCTCCAGACCTGTTTATTTTATTTTGAATCAGAATCTCACAAAGATACCCAGCCTGGCCTCAAACTTGAAATCTTCCTACCTAATCTTCCAGAGTAGCTGGGATTATAGGCATACGCTACTGCACTGGCTTCATTTCATAAAGTCAAATATCAACTAACATAATATACAGTAAGTCTTATGAAATGATTATAATGCACCTGTTCATAATAAGGTAGTATCAACATCATCATCACCTTATCATGGCATGTCCTTTTATACAATAAGATTTCCCATAAGGAAATTCTTATTTCATTTCTTTCTATAATACAAACCTTTATTCTTCTCATTTTCTCTTTTTGTTACAGAGTTATGTTCTTCTACCTCTCTTGGTACTAATCTTGCTGCTTTGTGATAATGTTTATCTGCCTACCTGGGTTAATTGCTTAATAAAACTTTCATATGCTTTTCTGTAGTTGAAAAGTCCTCTTCCCTGATGTTAAACATAAGCAATTATTCTGAGATCAAGAAGAGGGAGATGACAGAAATGTAATTGACATGGCCACTGAAATAAAATTTCTTCCTTTATTTAAGTACTACATGCAATTATTGGTACACATACTTTTCTTTTTTTAATACCGGGGGTTGAATCCAGTAGCACTTTAGCACTAGCTATATCCCCAGCCCTTTTTTGTTTTTATTTTGAGACRGAGTCTCATTAAGTTGCTAAGGCTGCCTTGAATTTGTGATCCTCCTGCCTCAGCCTCCTGCATTGCTAGGATTACAGGTGTGCACCACATGCCCAGCATACACATACTCATTTTCTGCTATTTATTGCCCAGTGTAAGGCAGTTAGGTTATACAGGGATAAGTGTGCTGATGCTTTTAGCAGATTCATCTTTTCATCAGTTTTCCTTCTCTATCTTTCTTCTCCAAACCTTCTTTTTCCTTCTTCAAGTAAATTATTTTCATTCACTTTTCTGGTGACCTGATTTTATATCATGATGGTACCTGTGTCTATGTCTGCAATCCAAACTACTAGGAGTCTCTGGAGACACAGACAAGTCATTTGTGTTTCTGTATAAGGGAAATATCAGAAAGGTCTTGTGAACGCAGAAGCCATGTACCTCTCTGTAATATGGTTTTGATTTTACTTCTCAGCCAACTGTCTGTCTGCTTTTGCTTTCCTCTTATCTCCCTGTATATTTCATTTACCATTTAATTGTCAAAAGTTAACTATCAAGAAACTAGTGTACCTGTTCCAGGTAGTGCTGGCTTTGCCATTCTCATATCCCTGTGTTAGCCACTTTTTGCCGCAGTCTGGCTGGGCACAATTCAAGAGCCACTTGTCAAAAGAAACGAACTTTATTTTTAGAACCACACACTCCAAACAAAATAGCTCCTCAGGAAAACCTTCAGAGCCCAACTGCCACCACCGGCTTCCCACAAGCCTCTCAACCTCCCCCACTCCTCCTGCTCTTGAGGCCGATTGGCTGGGTCGCGAGGGCGGAGCCAAAAAAAGTCCCCCAATGAGCAGCTCCATGGTCTGAAAGGGCGAGAAAACAGCCCAATGAGCATCACCGCAGAGGAGCCAATCAGTTGGCAGCTAGAAGTTGCTGGGGCCGCTGTGAGCCAATCATCAGCTGGCAGCTGGAAGTTTGCTCGGTCCCCTTCGGCTGTGGCTCTCAACACTTTTGGTGGGATACATCCATCTTTAATAATCCACATTCACATCTGCCATGTGTGAATTATTATGAAATTACATGACTTTATGATTGTTCATGTTTATAATGCTTTTATTTGAA